GGGTAAAGAAAACTACAATTCATATAATTTAGATTAAATGAACTAGTGAAAACATCATGAGGATTATTCTACATTTCTGCCAATAGTTCTATTTCACCTAAATCTTACACACTGGACCTTAAGTAGTGATAGATGGGTGTATATAAGATGTTAGAACTCTGTAAGGCAGAATATCTGTTTTCCAGAACTGAAGGAAAGGCCTGTTTGAAGGCTGCAGTCCAGGCTTTCAGCTGACACTAACAAATGGCAGTGAAACAGCAATCTTTTATTATACACTACATTATGTGGGGGGAGGATAAGACTAATAAGACTGCGTGCAGCAGAAGCTTAGGCGACATATAAGCTGATTTATGTCTCAGGCTGTCTTTCAGAGGTGGGGCAGAACATTCACTAACATGTTCACTTAGTCATTGTCTAAAGGAAGCCCATAGGAGCCTTCAGTATTGCATGGGCTTGTTACTTTATCCATATGAAGTCCAATGCATAACTCACATTTATCTATACTCTTAAGTCACTGTCACCTTTGTTCCACCCTGGGTAAATTACATATTAAACGGCTTCAATTTCCATGCACAATTAACATTTTTACTTCATAAAAAAAGATAATTCCATTGTGGCATCCACAAGAATTTGCCAACCGGTCAGAACTAAAAAGCAGCCCCATAGCCACTGACTAGAACTTAACTGGAAATTTGTGAGTCCATAGACATGCTATGCATACCAGACAAAACTATCTCAGAACATGAAGTGATGTGCAAGGAATGAATGGAAATTCCTCAATGAAGGGTAGAAACAAAAAACGCAAAAACAAATAATGTCAACGTGTATTATTCTTGTTTTCGAAGGACACTGAACACAGCTTGGTCATCAGCAGTTTGATTTTGATTAACCACATTTACACTATTTAATCAGTCACGACAGGACCAGCTAACTACGGCTCATTTTGTCTATGACTTATGTGCACAGCACCAGGCTGTACACCTTCTCCTGGCTGTGGAGCTGTCTGTCCTGTCTGCGTCCGTAGCCTCGGACTGTTTATGTTCATTTATCACATGTCGTATTGTCATTGCAAAATTAAACAATGTTATCGCATGTTTTCCTGATATCGTGCAGCCCTAATAGTCAGTAATTTGGGACACTTGTATTATAGAATAGAACAGAATGCCTTAATTATCATCACAGCTGAAATTTAGTGCAACTCCTCAGTGGCAGGCCCTACATACAATATAAATAAAACCGTCAGCAACAATCAATCAATGCAACTCTACACACAAAGTTTAAAAACAAGTTTGAATATAAAAATATAATGATAAATATTCGGTTAATTGAAAGATACTCTCTTTATTGCACTACATTTGTACAGTTGTATAGTGTAAGCTTTGCCTTTATAAAGCCCTGTATTTTCAACTCAAACACATGTTATATAGTGATTTTTATGCCACACCATAATTATCCCAGGTTCCATCCTGGTTACCCCTCTGAAACTTGACAACTACTCACAGTCGCCAGTTTTCCAAAGACATCTGAAGCCAAAGTTTATGTTTTGGCAAAACAGAACCCTTCATATCTGCTCCATGGAAAGGAAAAGGGACACACTGGAAACACTTACAAAAACTCAGGATCCAAGAAATCAGACAACCCAATGATTAGATAAGATCATTGTAGTTCTAAAAGAATTTTGGACAACAGGGCCCAGAATAGTGGACATTATTGAATGAATGAATGATCTAGGTTAGAGCTTGTTGATAAATGTTATTATGTTATGCTGTTTTATGCTGTAATGCATTTATATATTGCATTTTATAGCTGAGTAGTCTATGTATTTGAAAGGACCACAAGGCAATGGGAATTTTAGCTGAGGCTGCAAATGTTGGGGTGTGTGGCAACAAGAAGGGCTTTAATATGTTAATCCTATTAGGTAGGTTTTGTAACAACTTCGATAACTATAATCAAATGAAATGATTGGTTGGTGTACCTGTTTGTCACTAACCTGCCTGCCTGCACCCTGCTCGTGTCTTCACAGGCCAGTGAGACATACACTACCGAAGTGGAGACAATAGCCAGAAGTTAGCGAGTGAGTCACAGAAGAGTCGTGTTCTAGCAGTTGTCAGGCAGTACTTGTTTGTGTGTTTTAGGGGCATAGCTTTGGCGAGAGGTCCGATGGGATGTTCCATTTGCATTTTTTCAAGGTTAAGAGTGCTCTTGCTAGTTTTTCCAGGATTACCAACCCTAGCTTTATATTATAAAGTTAAATGATAAGAGAAACACCAGCACATATCTGTGTTTAACTATGAAATTAGAAACGGGAGGTTTAGCTTAGCATGAAGACTAAAATACGAGGGAAACATCTAGACGAGTACAAGTCACTTTCACATTAAACCACAAATTATTATGTTAACTTTTCTGTTTCTGTAGCTAAAGCAATGCAAAACAGCAATTTATTCACTAATTTTTCAAGGTATATATAGGGGTGTTTTTTTACCTTTGACAGAGCCAAGTTTCCAGTCGTTATCCATGCTAAACTAAGCTAATCAGCTCCTGGCTCTACTTCCATTCTAAAAACACAAACCTGAGGATAGTACAGATAATCTCAATTCACTGTCAGAGAGAAAGCAAATAACAGAATCCCAAAGTTTGGAACTGTTTCTTTTACATCAGGGCTCAGTATCATATGACTTGATCTTAGGGCCGACAGGCATCACGATGTGTAGACAACACATTAGAAAACATCCTTATTTTGCATACAGTATCTCCGGATGGATTATACACTTACTTTCGCACGATGTTTGGCCGACACCAAACTGCCTGGCATGTCCCATACATTCTCCTTTATTCATTCAGTAATAGACAGCGGGGCAGTGCTTAATCTCCTCCTGACAGCAGCCAGACACTTTGGATGACAAACGTAGGAAAGGAAATGAAAAGTGATGAAGAAGCCATGAGTTTTGTATTAAGTATTTCAATATTTAATGCCTACAGACAATAAGACAGTTTATCTCTCATCTGATGCTGTCAGTCAGCGTGGCATATCTCAGGTAAACAGATGGGTCTGTGTGACGCCTGTGTGCGCTGCGGCCCATTCAAGATATTTAGAGGATTGGCAAAACACTCCAAGTTATAGGGTGTCCTGTAATACTGTTCTTTTACAGGGAAATGGGCATGAACGTGACTTCATGGATGACAGTCGAGTGTTCATCATGGATATGTATAATCGCTACATATATCCCGGGGATGGATTTGCTAAAAGTGAGTGCAAGCATTATTTTGTGTTAAAGGATTTACTGTGATGCATCTGGTGACAGAGTTCTCCGTTCCCCCTGATGCCTTTTGGCAGTTGAGGAACTGAAGGGGGGGTAGCCCCTAGATGTCACTCAGTGCCATTTTAATTATGCTGTGATTTCCCTCAGCACCACCACTCAGTCCTTTCGCACTCAGCGGAAAATATACAACGTCCCTGCAACACCATAATCACAGCTTTTACACAAATGAACTTGTCAATACATTAAATCTGATTTGACAGCGACCACATGTTAGCATTTAACACCAATCCCACTGTTGCTCCTCAGACCAAACGTCATAGTCCTGTCTTTAATGCACTCCTCCTCATCCCCAGCTGTCTTCCTCTGTACAATTAATTGAATTCATGACATCTCATATTCGTCTCTCTCCTTATTCAAGTGAAATAAATGTATATTCTGGCTTGTTTGAGATAAAACAACAGAGTCTTATTCTGCTTCATATTTTTCCTCCAAGACACGTGTATTTCCTTGTACCTCCAAAGACTGACACTTACAGTTTCAGACATTTTAAAATCTTTTTTAAAAAACTTGCTGGACCAGACTTGAAAAACTTTGTTTCACATGCTTACGCATAGTTCGTTCCTGCTTGTGCAGCTTAGTTCTGCTTTAACTGTGAAACATAAAGGGATCCTAATTAACATTTTTCATCATTTGCATTAATTATTGGAAATATACAGTACATACTAATTAATTGAACCACTGCTGCACCATTCTATAGGAAACAATTACCTACCTGAACATCATGTAAGAATTCAGTTCTCAAAAATCCTCTGCTCAGCTTTCGTTCAAATAATAATGTTGCATGGAACAGTAATTATTAATCTATATACAGTATGAGGCCTGTGGACTGAGCTCATCCTAACTGCTACTGTTTCATAACTGCTGGTTTTTTGAATGCAGCCATATTCTTTGGCTTTATGGTGTGGATCTCCAATGAATCATCATTATCCATGTTTCAGGAGCTATAAAAAGGAAGGTGGAGCTGGACTGGGGCACTGAAGACCCAGAGTACCTTCAGAAAGTAGAGCTCCACTCTGAGGGAACATTGAATGAGGTCCGACCCGACATCATCATATATAATGCAGGGACAGACATCTTGGACGGGGACCCGCTTGGAGGACTCTCCATATCACCACAGGTACTGGATTAGACTGCAGGAAGGTTTCTAAACATTCACCATGCAAGTGGCAACTAATCTGTGACGCATGTGTGCAGTTGTTAGTTAAGTTGAGTTGACTCTACATTACCTTAAAAGTTGATGGCTGCATTGTTCCCACTGTACAATTGCTACAATCTTTCCCCTGGAGAAACTCTCGACTGGACTACGTTTAATCACAAAAACACATTTGAGAAGAGACACAGTGAGTCCGACTGATCCTCTTCTGCATCGTCTTGCTATAGAATGGAACAATTCTGTTGACATTACTGTTGTAAATAATAGGTTTCTGTGCGAACCTGATGCAGTTAATATAAAAGCTGCACTGAGTTTGTCTTATCCTGTTCCTCACACACATGGTAGATTCACCTGAAAACAGACATCTCCAGTTTTAAAAATCAGAGGGCACCCTTCACCACCTTCACCCTATCCTGTGCTCTGATTGGCTGGAGGAAGCTGGAGTTGTCACTGACTCCAGCTAGATTTCCAGTAGATTGGAAATCAGATCAGAGTCTGTAGCCAAGCTTCTCTAATTGTGTCTTTGAAGAGTTCACATACCACGACTGCTGATCAAGCGTTGATCAGGAGCTTTTGTCTGTGACTAGAAAATCGGGCTGAAAATTGTGTTGTGTGAACTAGGCTTTACTTAGTAGTAGTAGTTAAAGAGCAAAGCATATACAGATTTATTCACTTTCCTGTTTCATTTTTATAAATCTACTTTAAGGCTAGATTTGACTTTTTTTATCTGCTGTGATGGAAGAAAAAATAGAACGTACTGAGAGCTAATCCGAATGAGACACATTTGGATTTATCACTTCCTGTGGGCAGAGATGTCCTGTGATCCTACAGCTGCCAGAATGTAATGAATCAAATCATGTGAATTTGCCAAAGGTGTTGGGGATGGTGCACTGTTGTGTGTTGCATAGCAAATTTCTGATTGAGGCTGGTAAATTGCCTAAAAAGAACACTCTTGGTCACTGTAGCTTTAATAATAGTTTTTTTTTAAATTCTGGTTGAACATGAGTTCCTGCCATGCCTAATTTTTTTAAATTAGCGCTTGTGCTGCAAATAATACACAATGTTCGTGACACAAGTTTCTGCACTCAGTCCCCAGACAAGCAGGGGTGTGTGTTTCTTCTCAGTCCCTCCCTGATGTGTGCTCTGAGCAGCTTAGTGCTCCACAGCGGAGCAGTGAGATATGGGAACTATCAGGCCTCTTTCAGACCTCCCCTCCCTTCTCAGGGGAGAAAGGCAGCGTAGATAGAAACGTCAGCCAGCAGTTTCTAAGAATTCACAGAAATTACGGGTACTATCTGAAGCAATGGAGACATTGACAGCTTTCTTTTCTTTTTCTTTGCCAGGGTATTGTAAAGAGAGATGAGATAGTGTTCCGAGCTGCAAGGCGACGGGGCATCCCAATACTCATGGTAACATCTGGCGGATACCAGAAAAAAACAGCCCGCATCATCGCTGACTCCATTCTCAACTTGCACCAGCAGGGTTTGATTGGAGCAGAAGCTCTGGAGGGGGAGGGCTCGTCATTGCCTGTGACCAGTATGCTGTCCCACTCAGGACCTGCAGGGTCACCATTCACCGCTGTGTAAGGCCTGGGGTATACTCGCTGTTTAACCATGCGTAAGTGTAGGCGAGCGGCTGGGTCGTGAACGGAATTGTTCACATACTTGCATTGTTACTGCATGTTACTGGAGGATTCCAGTTACCCGGACTAAAGACTGTAGAGAGCTCTGCAAAAGTTTCAGAGTGATCTTTATGCCACTTCCAGATTTGTGTGCGATATATACATAAGCAAAGACGGCGACACTCTAGGAGATCGACGTTTGGCTAATGTTAAGATCAAGACAACAAAAGATATGATCGTGCATACTTGGGTTGTATGTTGAAATTGGCGAGCTTACTTCTCTCATTCTGCCAATGCAGCTCCGCCATATCTGTCACTGACCTTTATGTGGATTTTACATTTTGCATAATTGTCGCTTTGATTTCTGTGGACGAAGCAGCTGTTTTGCGTATGCGTAGTTTACAGCAAATATACCGCAGGCCAATACTCACAGCTGTGACCTCTATAGCTGTGATGTTTGAAGGCAGCAGTAATATTGTGAGGAAGGATGCGTGTTTGCACATGTACAACAAAACGTTCTCAAGCATTGTTACATTTTTAATGTTTAAGTTGGTGATTAATTAAAGGGAATAATCATTGAAAGACGGAATTAGGTGTGAAACAATAACACTCTCTTGGCTATAGCAGATTAACTTAAACTCTCACATGCCACAAAAAGAGTGTTTAAATTTTAATCTAATGGAGAACAATGGGGTTATGTTAAATGTATGTTCAGGGCTGTGTATTAGAGACGCAGTCTTTCATCTCAGGAAATGTACTTATGTCATTTGTGAAGAATATGACTTATTAAGAGTCCATGAAATGGTACAAAGGTCTGTTGTTGCAGAAATATGGGAAGTATGTTAATTATCCTCCATCTGAGAATAAGAACAATAAGTGTTTGTGAAAAGTGTAACTACCAAACATGATTATATGATGATCTTTAACCTTCTTAAATAATTGAATGTCTTCTTTAGCCCATTTATGTTACATTTATGTTTCATAATTTGCAGTATCAATTGGAGATTTTCCTCTAGATAATATTGTAATAACTAATGAGTTTTTGGTGTTTTGTAAATCATGTTCAACCATTGATGGGCTTATTTACTTCTTGATGCACTTGGTGCTTTAAATCCACACTGATATGTGCAGTTAATGTTTACAGGGAGATCACTGTGATTTCATCATCGTAGTAATGTTGGTTTTTTGTCTCTTACGCCGCAAATTAGATTTGAAACAGTAAAACACTGACTCTGAGCATTTTAACTTTTGTATATGGGTTCACCCGACATTCCCAAGCTCTTGAAAATCAAAGGTCTTTTTGCAATGTGTTCCTGATGTAGACATCAAAATGCAAAAACAGAAAATGCTCAGTGATTATACAGCAGACCCGACCATTGGAGCCTTGTTTTCATGTGATTGATTTGCTGTTGTGAGACATTCAGAATTCCCTTAATGATGTTTACACATACAGTAGGAGACTAAGTTGATGTTTTTAAAATTTGGATATCACTATTGATGCAGTAGCTGCAGCAACGTCACTGCTTTCAAAAGACACTAAATTATCTTGTTCAAATGCAGACTGTATCTCGTTCTGTGTGTGTGTGTAAACGCATGTGATTCACCAATATACACATGGTATGTTGGTGAATCAGAGAGAGACAGGAAACAGATGGAATTAATGGTATGACTGTGGAAACTGCAAAAATGTTGTGTGGGCCTTGTCCATTAATTTCTCCATTTATTTTGCCATAAATCAATGTATTGATAATGTACCAATAAATACATTTTATTGGCCAAGTAAATAGTTTGCATCTGAGAATTCTGCTGCATTGTCCAAAACCTTAGTCCTACAGGGCAAGAAACACCAGTGGCCAGATATTTCAACATTTTGATATAGTCTTAGTTCCAGATCGGTTAATCTCTGCCAAAATTAATGAATTTATAAGTAATTTAGACGAGGTGATATTTGTTAGAACGATTTAGAATGGGAAGCCACTTCACCCCATAGCTTAGAACTAAGGAAAGTTTCAATCAACAAAACTGTGATGGTTGTGAAAAACAAACTACTCCCAGCAACCACTACTGCAGCTTTGTGGTTAACTTAGAATTACGTTAGCAGAACAGATAATAATCAGCCTGAAAGTGAACCAAACATATTGGTCTAGTTCTTATAACTGTTCAAAACATCCATCATGGTTTTAGTGACATTTCAGATCCTGCCACTTCAGGTTGAGCCAGGTTGTTTAGTTATGCTGTTGGTTCACTTTGGACAAGTCTCACTGTCTGGTTGTCTGGCTGCTTGTGTTTTCACCAGACACCACATTTTATATTCAAGCCAAATAATTTATTCTTTAAAGTGTTGTGTAAGCCAAACACATTAAATGTCTTGCTTTTAACTATTCTGTAGCACTTTGGTTTTTCTTTGCTCTTCTGTGCATATATATAAATTCTGAATATTTTATATTCAGATCTTTATCTAGATCAAAGTTAGCCATAGTCAACTTCCCAAATTACAGCAGCCACCTGAGGGAAGACAGGAGAATACAGGTATGGACAGAGCTGTAGACGTCTGATATATCCTTTGTTAGGACAGTTGAGACAGCTCAGGGTGAAGAATGAGACAAGACAAAGATGTTGACCAAATTAGAAGAAATGTTCCTGTTACTGTGAATGTGCCCAAGGGGGAAGTTTTATGATGAAACCGTCTGCTCTATGGCTCACTGTTACATCAGATGTGTTTTTTTGTTTTGCAGTTGACTAGATCTGCAGCTGGCAGGTGCTGCTGTTATGATTTTGTAATGTATTCATTCACATTCATTATCTTCTGCTGCACTGGCTCCACACTACTGTTTTTTTCTTGTTTGAGTTAGAACATTTCCGACCGGAGAACAGACTCGTGATCATTTAAAGGATTAAAATGCTTTCTATCTTTGAACAGCATGAAGAGCAGTCAGTGTTGGCTTCATATTCAGGAAGCTGTTTGGACACATTCATAATGAAACTGTGAGAGGCAGGCCATATTAACGCTGTCAGTGCTAATTAGCTCAAGCCTTTGATCTGGTGTTGCTGCCTTTGAATGAGGCTGAAATGTTTAGTGCAGTCTACCTTTAATTAGGTCTCAGAATATATCACTTACTATATGCAGGCCTCCTTAATACCTGATGTGAGCCCATCCTCCAGCTCACCAGCTCCTCTCTCTGTCAGCCAGCATTTTAGCCAGAAGGGCTGGTTGAGTGTTGCATGCCAAAAAAACACTTATGTCTTCAGAGCTGTACTGAACATTTTTGGTGCATTTGTGTTTTTGTGCTGACATTGAAAAGTGCGTCTATGCATTCATGATGCGGGGGAATAAATCTGTAGTCAGAAAAGTAAATTTCCCCTATTTTTACGTTTTAGAGTTTTTCTTTGAATTGCTTTAACTGTTAATGCTTACTGTATAGTATGTATGGAAAACCTTAGTTAATAATCCTGCCAACAATAATTATTTTCCATTGAATACTGCTTGTCCCACATGGGTCTTCCTAAAGCCTTGTCCCAAATGAGGTAATGAAAATCCCACTCTTAAACCACAGTGACTCACTGAGAAATCATCTAAATAGTCATTTTCCTGTGTAGCTTCTCTGATGCATCCTTCTGCTCAATTCAAGTTCATTTTCTTTTCTGTCCAGTAGTTTCAGACCACCACAAGTGTAACTTTGTTTATTTCATTCACTAGCACAAGTACATGCAAATGCATGCATTTGACACAGACTGTGTTTACATGCGCACTCATTTTTCAGGTATTATCAGGTTTTTAAGTATCCTGTTTCATGTTTAAATGTGTAAACTTCATAACCTGATTTCAGTATCCTGGATAACCCCTTTCGTAAGTAACTGGGATACTGGTGCATGTACACATCTTATCCCGATTGCTGGCTATTGGTTACTACCTGTACAGGTTTATGTTCAGCCAAGTGACGTGTCATAAACACAGACAAGGGCAGCAATGAAAGCATCTCACTTCTGTAGTGACGAGAAGATGGAGTTTATTTAAAGAATTAAATATACTGAGTAATCTACATGGGAAGATGAGTTGTAATGCTGACTTATTTAAGTTTGTTGTGGCTTCGGAATGGTGGTCTGTGTATGCTGGAATTTATCATGTATATAGGGATGTGATAAACCAATGTATCAATATTCCATGTGTGCAACATATCACAAATATGATAAAAACTTGGATAATCCTCATACTGGGATACAAGTGCTTATGTAAATGCAGTCACAGTGGTATCACACCATTCAAATCATCAGAAAATGCAGCGAAGAAGAAAAGTGAAACCAAGTAAACATGGATGCTAACTTGGATCAAGGATTTCAAATGTGTTTGCTTATAAGAAAACTCCCTTCTAAAGTTTCTGCACACTCACATGCAGGGGTTTTCATTTCTCAGCTCAAATTATAATATGCTCGGATTCATGTCAACTCCCCAAACTCAATGTACTGATGAGAATCACATGCTCTTCTACTTAAACAAGTTTATTCTCAGTCTGATGCTAACAGGAGACTATGTTTTATCCAAAAGAGGTGTTTCTACCATTTGTACATTATAAGTACAAGCTAATAACAGCTTAACTTATTCTATTTGAGCTCTATGTCCCAGCTTCGTCAAGATGTCTTGGGTTTTGCGCAGACTAAGTTTGCCTCCTCTGACAGGGCAGTGCTATTGGAATGAACAGATTTGGCTGCAGTTGGCCAGTGGAGAAGTGTTGGCTGTTTAGAAATCCTTCAGCATGTGGTTCATACATATTCAAATTCAAGCAAATACAAGAACTCTTAAGAATCGGAACAGAAAATACCTAAAAAATGGTTTGAAAGGAAACGACATTCATTATGCAGGCCATTCTGCAAAAATACTTTGACTTAACTTACAAATGTACTTCTACACACAAGAGAGTGCAATGATCAGTTTTTGATAAGTGATAGAACACTGCTTTAACTTTCAGCAGTCTAATTTGAGTCTTCTATCCATACATTCAGGCAAAAGAGAACATTAGACTTCATATAAACAGTGAATACTGGACAACTCCAGACAGTAATAGAGTTTTTCAGATGTGAATCAAGCCCTCACACAGTCAGAGGAGGTCTACAGTAATCAGGCAAAACAAATAAAAAAGTAAAAATCTGTGTGGGAGGACAATGGGAGTGAACTTTGTGTCATTTTCATTTCCCTACCGACAAGTAAACTATACTTCAAGGACAAAGCAGTGCGGCAGCAGATTTCAGCTTTTAATTGAAAAAAAAAATCACAACAAGCAGCTGTGCAGATAAAGCAAATATGGTCCGTTCTAAATTTAACATGATGAGCAGCTTTTGTCTTTCTGTCAGCTGTGTTATGGGTGTGTTTCCCTGTTGTTTTGCTCTTCAACAGAATTGTAATTCACAAACGTCAACATATGGGCTGAGGTGTATTACAAGCTTGAAGCCAGATACACTTTAGCCTCATAATGCCCTCGTCAGTTGGCTACTAATTAGTGCATGTGTAAGTAACATCATACATGTTTTCACATAAGACATCTGTGATCTTAATGTGAACTCTGGGTTATTAAGTGAGGGCTCCAACTTGTGTTCAGGGAGTCTGGTGTAAGAGTGAAGGTGTCTTGCATTGTTGTAGAGTTCTTGTATTCCCAAGAAATTGGTCTACTTACAGCCAAACAGGAATAGAGAGTCCATCATGACAATATATCTTCAGGCAACTGTGGTGTTGGGACAAAGAGCCCTTGTAGTGGGCTTCATTAAACATGATTCCCTGGCTGTTTGCCTGGCTCCTGGACGCTGTCTTACCTCAGATGAACTGCTCCGAGGGGTCCAGCTGGACCGAGGCCGAGTCTGTCGAGTGCTCATCGTGTCTGGCTGCTTCGATTGGGATGTTTTCTCCTCTCCAGACGAACCAACACAAGTGAGGTGTAAACCGTTAACAGCCAGCGGTCTACTGAATATGGCACAAGAGAAAACAACATTTCAACAAGTTAATGAAAACTCTTCTCAGTGTCTTTTACTTTCACAGAAAACAGCGGGGTTAAAGGGGCGCTCACTCACAATATTACACAGAATGTTTATGAGTGCCAAGCTGCCTGTGAAAATAGCTTTATAATATCAGCTGTTGCTGGTGGGTTTGGGAAGCAGTCAGGTTCTAGTCATGATATTGTAACCATCCTCATCGCAAGCTACCATAATGTGAAACAATGTTTTATGCTGTTCGAGCAACAAGTCTGTAGGATATAAACTGCGTTTCATCAAACGTGTTCTATGCTGGGTTTTTTAGAGATGAAGAACAGAAAAGAGTCCAAAGGGTGAAAATGACTACACCAGGGTAAATTCAAGAACAAGCCATTGAAAAATTATCATCTGCAATGCTTTGTATAGTTACTTCACTTTTAAAATAATTATGTACGCAGACTTTTTTCCATTATTTTTCAAATTCAAGTTATTGTTAGCTCCATTAGTATGTTGGGGTAGTGTTACAACTC